AAAAATATTGCCTGTAAGAGGTCATTTCCCTGGGATATTCCGACGGTATATAAGGCGAATGCGACCATCAAAACTCCTCATCTCGACTCGATCATAAGCTAGAAGTCAGTCAAAGGAAGTCCGACCGGCGAAACCCGTACAGTAGCCTAAGGTGCTCGGCCATGACTCAGACAGGGGTTAGGTCGCCGGGTGACGGGTTCTGCCCGACTTCGTGGACTCAGGTCTCCTCGGGGAGATTCATCATAGACCCAAGGCTCCTGGTAGTCAACTCCACCGCTTTCAAGTGTGCAATATGCAAGCAGTCCCTCTTGAGCTCGAAAAACGGAGTCTGCCGAATCTCCTTCAGAAAATCGCAGCAGAAGAATCTCAGCGGCTTTGCTATCTCTAACAAGGCAAAAGGCAGTGGCAAGAACCAACCTCTGTGTCTCGCTTGCGTGGAGCGTTGGACTGGAAAAGTCTCAATCACAAAAACGAGTGTTGGCGTATCACCCGCAGTGGATGGGTGGGTCCACCGGAGGTCTGGTTCGACCGCACTGCAGAGCCCACCGGCTCATGGCGCCAGCAGAAGATTTTGGCCGGAGACGAGGTCATTCGGCTGCAGACATTAGATGCCAAGAGCAGGGAGGCAGCTGGCGGGAAGCGCAGCAAATCTGCAGCCGAAAGTGCTCTGAATAGAGGCCGCCAAGCGGGAGAGATCCCGCGGACGGTCCAACAAAAAGTGAGTTGATTTTTCAGTGAGTTGTTCTCGCTACTTAAGAAGTCGTTGAATCATAACTGGCAGTTGATTCTGGCCACCCCTCCCTCAAATGGAGGTTGTACATAAATATACAACCTCTGGATCTTATGATTTGATGTTCTCCAAGGTTTGATGTGGGTCAGTGACTTCAACACTGTGCGGATAACATTGAGGATGCTCACTCTAGGTGGGGTCTCGCTCATGCCCTTGCCCAGGCCCACCCCACGGATTCAACTGCTTGAGCTGTTCCCCGACCTTAGGCCCCTCGGGCCGACCCAATGAACTAGCTGGCGTATGTGTCTAGGTTTTGCAGACGTCAACACATTTAAGAAATATGCAGAATCTAGACAAAGGCGGCGATCATGTGTTTGCGACTTGCAGAAGGTGGACAGAAAGAGCCTTTGCAGCTTCGATTACGGTTCCGAGAATTTCAAAGCTTTCCCCCAAGTTCTGAATCTAAACAGCCTAGTATCGTCGGGCACACTTGAATCTTGGATATTTGAGGCAGTTGGCTAACCAATGGTATTCAAACCTTTTTTGTAGGATTGCGGACGAGAAGAAGAAGGCCGGGATGCAAACGGGCAGCTCACACTCGTTGCTCAAGCTGCACGGTTCCTGGCCAACATCAAGACCGGCTACTGCTCCATCTATAGCACTGGAGAGACGGAGGGCTGCAGCCCCGTCTTTTTGATGACCACGTGGAACCACAATGCTGCCAGGCCAAAGCCGCTGGGACGGCCCAGCAAAAGCACGGCGTTGCTCGAGACGGTGAACTGGGACACGATGGGGAACCCGAGTTGCACGTGCGATCGCAGCTGTTTGAGCTTTGGCGCAGCTTGCGTCCACAAGCTGGCATTGCAAGCCCTCCAGGAGCGTTAGCAATCAAGCCACTTATCATTCCGAAAGGGGCCGCGGGTGGTGGAGGCGCCGTGCAGCACCCTGGGCCAGAGAGTGTTTGGGGTTTTTTGGAACACGAGTTCGCCTTCCCCCGAAAGAACGATGGTGCACTTCGACGCGGAGGCTGACTTCCAATGGTACTGCGAGGGAAGACGCGGAGGCTGCAGCAAAACTGCGGACTGCAGACATCTTTTGGAGGTGAAAAGAGTGCTCGAGAGAAGAGAGGGGGTAAGCAAATTGGAGGGGTGCCTCTTCACAGAAACGCAGCTGGAACGGGCTAGAGTGTGGCTGCAGCGAAAGAAGAGAGAGGTGGCGGCTGGCAAGGAGGAGGCAGCTTGCACGCAAACGCAAGCCGGTGAGGGATGTCAAGCAAGCAAGGCGTGCGGAGAGGATCTAGAGGCCCTCTCAGATGAGGAGCGTTATCTCCTCGGTCTTGTCGCCGGAGAGCGGCATGACGCGGTGTGCACTTGCTTTTGCCAACAGCATCCATCGCTGTTTGGGGGGGGTGAGCCTTGACAAGCAGCCCTGCGAAGGTCAGTGCTGTACTTCCGCAAACAGTAGCGCACCGGGGAAGCGTCCGCGAGAGGAGACGGTAGAGGATGGGGCGTCCGCACAGCGAGGGGTGAAACGGAGGTCTAAAGCCTTTTGGGCCGCTCAAATGGGGGGTGGTGAGCGTGGAGATGTGGCCAACAATGAGGGGGCTGGGTGCATTGGTGGGGGGCATGGGAGGGGTTGCGTCCGCGTCTGTGAGAGTTGCTCCTGCCCTTCGTTGGCGTGCCTCCACGCAGAGCCAGCACGTATTGCCGTCGTCATGCCCATGAGTGCAGAGGGCGTTCAGGTGGAAACTCCAAAGTTAGTGCGCCCAACAGACGGCTCCCGAGGCCGTTCACGACCCTCCCGTCACCCTGCTGAAGCAGCCGGTGAGAGTTAGCCAGCTGACGGCGCGCGATTTTGATGAGCTGAGCAGGATGGAGTGCTTGTGCGCACCTTGCCCGAAGGAGCCGCCACCTTGCGGGACGGGCTGGTCGAGCTTGGTGCAGGCGTCGCACATCTACTCATTGGACTGGTCTCAGGAGGTGAGTGCATGCTGGGATTGTTGCCACGTTGCATTCGTCTAGGTTCTGCAAATATCAGGCGTAATCAAAGGGACGCAGAAGCTAGACAGCTAGACGGTGCTTCTCAAGCACAGTATCGAGACTCTTCAGATTCTACATTCATTGAGCGCGATAGATTTTATGCATAACATCACCGGGTTGCCGCTGTCGTTTTCAGGTACTGTCTAGATTCTGCACACTTTGTATATGTCTTGATTCTGCAAAAGCTAGACAAATGAATGTCCAATTTTCCTCCGCGCAGGAGCTGTCCAGGTTCTGCACGTTTTGTATATGCTCTCAATCTGCAAAATCTGGACATGGTCTGTGTGGTTTGCATCCGGGCACCACAGCTGTCTAGATTCCACACCCTTTCTATAGCTTCGATTCTGCAAAAGCTAGACGAGTCGGTGTGCGATCGACATCCGCGCTGGAGCTCTCTAGATTTTGCTCCTTCAGCAAGCTCTTTTTGGTGGGCATCCATCTCTCAGTGGCGTCAGGATTGACTGGGTTGTGCTCAATTTTTGCAGACCATAGAAGTTGGACAACTAGATAAATCTATGTAGAGCATGAGCATGCGCAAGTTATCCCAAGCTTTTGTTGGCAATCTCTTCTTGTCAAACACGTTGGTGGGGCTGTCCAGGTTTTGCAGATTTTATGCGTAAATCTAGACTGCAAATGCTGGACAGGATTCGAACTGTTTGCAAATACGAGAACGGTCTAAACAAAACTCAAAGGCAAACTCCTCCCTATCACGCAACTCTTCTCACCTTTCTTGACGGCATGAGACCATTTCGAGTCCATTTTTCCTGTGTGCAGGTGCAGATCCGCATATATTGCTGCAATTGTCCGGAGAAGCACACGGTCCACTTCAATGGAGAAACTCTGGGCTTGTACGTGTGGACGAGGAGCGTCATCGTCACACAAGCATCGTGCCAGCTGCTGCTCCGATGCGTGCAAGGCTCTGGCTCCGCCTACGGCGCTCTTATAGAGGCCAAAAACGCCGTCCGCCGATTGTACTCGCCGGGTGCCAAACCCCTGTCCAGCGAGACCTGGCGGAAGGCGAGT